TGGCGTCCCCCCAGCAGTGGGGGGGGGGGAGGGGGGAGAAGATCCCTATATAGGAAGGTACCATGCTCCACCCCAGAAGTGGCTGCATCTCAATGCTGGGAGATTGATTCCTGTCCAAACTTACTGCCTGCCCCACTTTCCAGAGGGGTCCATTTCACCAGCAGATGCAGCAATTTGGGGACAAAATGTGGGAGTTTATTTGGGAGGGGGATGAAGTGGGAGAACTTCATGTATTAGGAATTACATCCTGGATCAAAATAAAACAAAGGCCAAGAGACGTAACGCTGATCGGATGGACCGGCCACATGGCGTAATGGATACAACACTCTGCTCCTTGCTCCACACACCTTGGCCAAACGCCTTCCCCCACCTCTGTGACTCAGTTTCCTCCCACACACACACGCAGCCCCTTTGTCAGTGGTAAATGCTTTGGGGGCAGTGACCGTCTCTCCCTGGATCTGGAATGGGGGTGGCCAGAGGTAATGCCCGTCTGCTCCCTTGGAGGTGCCCCTGCCAGGGGTTGGTGGGCCCCCTTGCTAATTTCAACCGTCTCCTCTCCCGCCCCCCGTGAAAAAGGCCTGTGCACCCACTCGTTCCTCCTCCCCTGGTAGGTGACGGCCAGGAGCCCAAAGCGCAGTGGCAACTGGAGCAGAGAGGAGGCGAGAGAGGGGGGCAACGCCCATGCTGTGCACCCGCCGTCCGTGCCACCCCTTGGCTTAGGGGAATGGCCCTTCGAGAAAAGCCCCGGGGTTTATATTTCAGGCAGGGAAAAGGCTTGTGAATTGCTTATTTTGCAACGAAAGGGGGTGGAGGAGCTCAAGCAATATTTTGACATCCATCACTGATGCCGCAGGGCTAGGAACAGCCAGCCCAAGTGGGGCTGGCACACAATAAGCACCGCCCGGCCCTTGCTAGGGTAGGTAACAAACCCCAGGGCCCTGTGCCAAGTGCCACGGTGCCTCACGATGGCAGCCCCGGATCGGTGCTGCCTGCAGCCCGGGGGAGGCTGCACGGAGTGGATGATTCATGGCAGCGCCGGCTGCTGTTTGCGGGAGCGTCCTGGGTGTTTTGGCCGGCCCTGGCGTGTCACCAGCCCACTGGGCAGGGAGGCCAGGCCCAGCAGGAGGCGCTGTCACACCCAGAGGGATCAGCCCATTAGGACAGCGACGGAACTGGGAAACCCAGTGGCTCTTTCCTTCCTTCGTTCCAACGGGGCAGAGGCGGGAGAGGGGGAAAGCTTAGGATTGGTCAGATCATCTGCGCATCCCAGCAACCGCCTTGGTTCCTTCTAACCACTAGGCATGATAGCCCCCCAGATCCTTGAACGGACAACCCCCTCCCCACTCCCAGCACTTGGACGTGGGGGCATTTCTGCCCCTGCCTCCCTGCCTCTCTCAGCTGCCACCCTGCAGCCCCTGGTTTCATTGCTCTGCCATAACTTCAGCTGGGGCACATTGTTGCACCTTGTTCTCTCCAGCAGCTGCATCTCATGAGAGCGGGCTTGAGACCGCGCGGGGCTGAGTGCAGAGTAAAAGCATGAACAGCCAGAAACCTGGGAAAGTCCCAGGAAGAGTTTTGTAATACCTCCCCCACGCACACACAGACACACAAAATCCAATGTCTCCAGGGCGTATGTTACCCCAAACATCTGTAGTTTCCCATTTAAAGTCAGCAAGTGAGTAGATGCCATGCTGGACTTGATCTTTCCAAACCCAGATCAGCTTTCCTCCTTTAAAGTCCCTTGCAGCAGCCCCAGAGACAGTCTCTGTATCTGAACTCAGGGGACATGGCAGCTTGTGCTGGAAATATGGGGGGTATAGAGAGGCTGGATTCCTTGCAGCTTTTCAGGGGCCACCGTCGCGGCACTGAAGGCGAATGCACCCTGAGGCTCATGGGGAGCCTGTTCAGCTCCTTCCAAGCATCACGTCTGCCCACCCACGCGCCGCCTTGCAAGCTGGGGAGATTGTCAGGACTCTGGGACTCCATTAAAGGCCGGGGGGAGGGGGCTATGAGCTAGAGAAAGAGACACGGTCCCCAGCTTCGATCCACTGAGCTGATTTCAGTATTATTTCGCAGCCGTCTGTAAGGTCCAGAGGCCTCCTTTGAGGATGGAGCCCTCCTGGGTTAGGCCCTGAGCACAGAGGAAGACACACGCATGGGGAGAACAAAGGGCTCACCGTCTAACTAGAAAAAAAGGAGAAACTGAGGCACAGGGAGGCAAAACCTTTTTGTCAAAGTCATGGGAATGAAAGCCAAGCGTCTTGAATCTCTGCTTCATTCCCTTACCCCGCTGGTCCACAGGGCCTCTGCAGATTAACGAGGGCCCTGATCCTATGGTGCTCGTGCACGTGCTTCTTTTCAAGTCCACGTGACTACGTGTGCGCAGGGAGCGAGGCACATGTGAGCGGGCCGGGCCGGGGGCACCAGGAGCCAGGTGGGCTGTGCAAGGTGCGTGGGAGGAAGGGCAGATTCGATGGGATGCGATGGCTCTATAAATAGCTGCAATTGTCAGGCTATATATATCGACTCACAAAGAGATGGAGGAAGGGCCACTTGCACCAGCACCGGCTGGCTCATTTCTTGCCGGCGCGGGAGCTCGAGTGTTTAGCGGCGCAGGGGGGCGGTTTCCAGGCGGGAGCTCCGTGCTGGAGGGGCAACATGGTGGGAGGTGGCACTGGGAGCAGCAGGCAGGCGGACAAGGCTGAGGCTGCTGGCCCAGCAGGGTGAGTAGAAAGGGGCAGGGCTCTGAGAAGTGTGTGTGGGGGGGTCAGACACTTGCCCCCAGTGCAGGGAATCACCCGCAGGAGGTGGAAGGACTCGGAAAAGGCAGCATTGTGGTGAGAGAAGGCCTACGCAAAAGCCCCTACAATAACAACCCAGCCCCCCACGAGGGACCCTACAATAACAACGCACAGTCAATCTGTGGAACTCCTTGCCAGAGGATGTTGTTCAGACCAGGACTTTAACAGGGTTCGAAAAAGAGCTAGATAGATGCATGGAGGACAGGCCATCAATGGCCGTTAGCCTCTGTGTGTCAGAATCTGGAAATGGGCAACAGGGGATGGATCACTTGATTCCCTGTTCTGTTCATTCCCGCTAGGGAACCTGGCTTTGTTGGAATGCAGGATACTGGCCTAGATGGACCTTGGGTCTGACCCAGTGTGGCCATTCTTATGTAATAACAACCTAGCCCCTGTGAGAGACCCTACAATCACAACCCAGCCCTCCAGCAACCCTACAATAACAACCCAACCCCCCCATGAGACACCCTACAATAAGATCCCAACCTCACAATGAGAGACCCTAGAATAACAACCCAGCCCTCCAGCAACCCTACAATAAAAACCCAATCCCCCCCATGAGAGACCCTACAATAATAACCCAGCCCTCCGGCAACCCTATAATAATAACCCAACCCCCCATGAGAGACCCTACAATAACAACCCAGTCATGAGTTCAAATGTTGCTATGGGGCAAAGACGTCACCTGATAGGTAGAGAGGTCTGTCAATCACCCTGGTTGCGCACGTGTGGGCTGTGTTCTGATATACTGGGGAAGCTGTCCGTCACCGTCGTTGCTAGGGGAGGGTGTAAGAGTTGCTACGGGACTGTTTACTGACAACCCAGTCATGAGTTCAAATGTTGCTATGGGGCAAAGACGTCACCTGATAGGTAGAGAGGTCTGTCAATCACCCTGGTTGCGCACGTGTGGGCTGTGTTCTGATATACTGGGGAAGCTGTCCGTCACCGTCGTTGCTAGGGGAGGGTGTAAGAGTTGCTACGGGACTGTTTACTGAGGGCCGCGGGGCTCAGCTCCCTCAGCGTGACAAGCGGGAGGCGGAAGCCGGGCGTGGCCGTCAACTGAGCCGCTCTCTGATAGGCTGACGAGGGCTGTCGGTCAGCGCGGTTGCGCGGGGGCAGGAATTTGCGTCACTCTAGGCCTGGCCGCCTATAGGCTCGCGGCCCGCCCG